GGCACGCCCTGGGTCGGCGGCATTTTCTCTCTGCAAAAAAAGGAGTGAATGAGGAAACTTTACTAGTAATAAAATGAAATAAAGTATGGAATGGTGTATGTGTGAGAAAGGAGTCGCAAAAAAGCGAGGCGACTGAATAAATTGTGTGTCGTTGTCACCCATGAGAATTGAGTTAGAGTGAGGGAATTTGTTGCTTGCTACCGTAAGATAAAGTATATTTGAGCACAATGTACATGCATGATAAATACACGCTTTTTTCCGTCCTTGCAATTCTGGGAGTATAACTTTTTGAGGACTCTCTGTGTTTGTTTTAATGATCGTCTGCATGGCTCCGTCGTGTCCCCGTGAAGGAGCATAATGGCTCCAATTAACAAAATGCTGTGGAACTCCAGCTACCCATGCACTCGACAATTGGAGTACATCGTTAGGCGCGCAGCATACACAAAACTCAACATATATCAAGTCCATTCCCTGATATGGCGCTTGTGAATGTACATACGATACTTTGTGGAACAATATTTGGGAAAAAATTCAATATCTTTTGGCATTTTTCTGGCTTAACTGTGATTCAGGCAAAAATATTCACAATTTACTATTAACTTTATGCATGTGCATGCAAAATGTATAGGTTTTATCCGCTCCAAAATGGCAAAAGTCCAAATTAAACCCGGCACAAAATTTATGCAACTTATTTCATCCGAAGATTACACTTCCATGTTACTAAATATATTTGTAAGGGAATGAGATAAAAGTGAACTCCACCTCTTTCCCGTGGAAATGGACGAAAACTTAATTAAAAGCGCCACTCCCACGAACATTTTACCATTTCAAGTTAAGTTTACGAGCATACGACATGATTAATCATAGCGATTTCCTGTTTTTATTTCCATTTACAGCCAACGAATTCCAAACTACCGCATGCGATTCTGTGAAGCTTCCACAAACCGTCCATGAGCATCGTCCAATCTATAACAGATATGGCAGAGGAATATAGACGTATTTGTAGTAAATATTGAATCACGGGCCAAAATTTGTAATATTACTCGGGTATGCACTAATGAAATGCACAAATATACGCCTTTTTTCGAGCTCACCAGCCGCGGCTGAGCAAATCGCAAAATCAATATTTGGCTATGATATACGAGTCACTGGATTTAAACATCATTTCCCATCCACGCCCTTCGTATTTCAAGGGATTTTCCACGGAGCCGGAGAAAGGCACATATAAGTCAGTGTTTACCTAATTCAAAATATCACCATGAAATTTGACGCACCTTCAAGCGGAAAGTATGGAACTCACGGGGGGAAAAGCTAATTCAACATTCCACAAAAGTATGTTTCCATTAATAATTTTTTTCTGTGCCAAAGCACAAAAAGTTCCTTTTTTTCCTGGCTATTACATACTTCAATGAGTTTTGATTAAAATGACAGGAATTTTTTAATAACTGAAAAAAACGAAGAAAAATATGCAATTTATTGAATACGTCGTCGGATTATTTCGAATTTTTGCCCTAGATTTGAAGAAACAATTTGTCACAATGTGAATATGAGTGAATTTATGTATGAGTGGAAAAGAACGTGATTGTTTCACGAAACAATATGACGTTTGACCTTTAAATTCTTTTCATTTAGATGAGAAAACAGAAGGAGATGTTGTATGGCTTGTGGGCTTCTTTTGATTAAGCTTTTAAAAATGATTACAGCCTAGAGGCGAGTAAAGCAATGTGATTTAAGGCTACTTATGCATAGTATTTTTTGTCTTCGTATTTCTAATGTCGATTAAAAGTATATAGAGTCTCTCAGCAAATAAGTGAGAAATGAAATTTATTCCATGGCTTCGCATCCTGAAGCTATAACAAAATTCATGTGCGCACACAACAGTCTTTTTATCACATGTTGTATATGGTTTCCATGAAAGCCCCGAAGCCTTTAAGCCGCTCAATTGTTAGTCGAAATTTAGCAAATTCATTTTGCAGTTTGCGATTAAGAGGCAATACATGGAGATCAATTGGGAAAGTTGTAGGGTTGCGAGCTATGAAATTTCACACTCGAATTTTCACTGTACATCTCGCGCTCTCTGAATGGGGAAGCGACGTGAGGTCAGGGAGAGACAAAGCTTTGAGTGCTGCTTCACAATAGATACAAAGCTTTGAAGTCGATTTTGAGTGAATGTACAACTGCTTAGCCTCAGAGAACACAGGGTGTTGCTCAAACACGTCCATCTGGCGCATTTTCAGGCGCTGTAGATCAAAGCTCAAACGATTCTCGCAGAGTTGTGAGTCTTGAAAGTGAGGCAAGTGGGCCAAGTGGGAGTTATGTTGTCAAAAGTTGGGAGTTTCTTGACCAGAGTCTGTCAAAAGCACGATACACACTCACATATTTCCATGCGGAGTGTTTGAACATATCACCATTTCAGAAAACACAGCTTTCTCGGCCTCCGGCCAACTCGAGAAGGTGTCCTGAATGGGAGTGGAGGTTAAGCCGTTACCGTGAAACTTTTAATTGATTTACCATCATTGACAATTCCGGGGAAGAAAGTACCCATGGCCAAATTCCACATCCGTCCGGACAAACAACTTCTTCGACCACAGACACATTCGATGCAGATGGAAATTCCGATTGAGCGATCATCCCTCCAGCGCCACAATCGATTTGATGGGGTAGAAAGAGGGCCAAATCAAATTCGTCTCACTCACCACAGAATCCATCCAATTTCAACTTCCAGCAAATTTCCTCGCTAAATGTAAATATTTGCCAAATGGATTGTCATTGCGCAGGAAGCAATTGAGGACACAAAAACACACCCTTCGCTTAGTGCACATACACCATTTATTATCTCCGCATTTTCTAAATGAACCTGAAAGATTGATTGTAGAGACAAAAGACGGGAGGATAACACTTTCATTTCTTGAGTGTGTCCTCGAGGCCATTGGCGTGGTGGGTATTCTCTGTGGCATTGGTGGAAATTTCATCTACATTTATTTAGATTTATCCACCATGGCAAGTGTAAATATTTCAAGAGCAGTCTCAAAATAGATTCTTATCCCCAAACATTAAAAAGTCTTGCGAGAGAAAGTATAAGCCCTGAATGGATAGGTTTGCTCTTTTTCTGCTCTCCACCAAAATCCACTGTGAAACTCTTCAATTCCATTATGTTTGCTTATCTTTCGAGAGCCAACGGATAAAAAACGAGAACTGGCGCCAACAATTCCCTCCTGAGTTTTATCTAAAAGTTATTTTACTATTTATTACGAAGCCCCCGTGGTGCGTGGGTTGAGGCGCTACTCCAAGGGGCAGTGCACTGACTGGGTGAACTTGAGTGGACAGAAAATTTCCGATTCCTCACGATTAGCCCTCAAATTTTCCCGTATACATATAGGCGATAAATCAAATGAAGAAAAAAAATATGAAGACCGAATAAAAAGCCAGAGAAAGCTGTTTAAAAAATTTAATTAATTACATACAAGCCGCATAAATCACCATGTAGACCCTGTTAAAATCGAGGAGTTTTTGTTTGTGCGGCGTATTAAAGAATGGAGCGAAAAAGTTTTAATTTATCCACAATGTGTGTGTGTGGGAGAGTCTGCAATGTAAGAATGCATCCAGAATTATCTTTTTGTTCTGCGGCAAGTGCACACAAAAGCCCAGCCCGTAGCCGAAAACAAGAAGAAGAGCCGAGCAACAGCAAAGTTGTCGACCAACTTCTGCACCAGCCGAGCAAAGCCACAGCAACATTATGCACACGCTGACTTATACCATCCGATTTTCCAGCGAGAGGTACATGGCTCCAGCGCAGATTGATGTCGATGGAAACAAAGCTTCCAATGGAGGCATTTCGGCTGCGAAGGAGCCCGCGGAGGAAACTTCTTTTTTGCCCCATCGCTTCCGGAAAGCTCCTTATTTATGAGAAAGCACAGCGTCACGCTCCAAAGGGGGATTATTTCTTGATAAAATAAATATTTTTCCAGCCCGCAGCATAAGTGACGCAAATTTCCTCTTTCACTGTGAAAATACAAACAAAGGGCACAAAAGCCGGATGGGATAAAAAAAAATCCACGTCAAGACAGTATCTCGATGGCTTTTTCGTGGATGAGAGTCATTTGGTATTCATGCACTAAAAGGCCAGGATGCAATTAGTATGCATTTAAAAGAGCACCACAGCGGAGGTTTCTGGGTCAAAGTTGAGCACACCGATTGCCCAATCGATTTTTCCTCTCGCCAACGCGCCACGAAATTCTCCCTTGTGAATCCATAGAGAAATGAAATAATGTTTTCGCTCATCCGCAGCCAATAGACAGATACTAGTCGCAATTGGTGGCGCACTTGTTCTTTCTACCCTTCTCGACAAGGGTAACAATGTCCTTGCAGCAGACATAAAGGAGTCAGTGAAAGCTTTTTTGATTGAGCAAATTATTACGAAAAATGAATTTGAGAGAAAATCTGTAAAACGGTTACAAATTCACTGATCTTTGAAATATTTCACGATTTGCCATAATAGCTTTAAACGCATTTGAATGGTTTAAGTGCAAATTCAGAATGTTGTGAGCACCACAGTTTTCTGCCTGAATCTGTTCAGAACGCATAAATAGCAAATAATAATAAATTGCACGATTCGAAGTGCAATTTACATTGGCAAATATTCCTGGCATCGCTGGCAATAAATCCAAAGTGTACCACGAGCCCAATTACGCATTCACTCTGTGTCTCCTCAAAGCTATTTGCTGGGAAAATTGCTATTGCACGCTAAATGATTCGTCGCTAAGATCAATCGTGAATAGGATTTACACTTTCCCGAAATGCTGCGAGTGAATGCTTCTGGATGTTTTGCGGACGCACTCCGGAAGGGATGGGGCGTGAGTAATTTGCAAATACCACGCGGAAATCTCTGACAATTCACACACACAGAGTTCCCTCGCAGCTTCTGTTGACTGTCAATAAGTCAGCGGCAGAAGTAATTCTAGAATCTGTAATATATATTGGCTGAATCTGTGAAAAATCGATTTTCTGCAGTAAAACATTCATCTTTATTCTTTATATCCTCAATATTTTCCCACTTTATGGGACCACAGGCGAAAAGCTCTCACAGATCTTGAATTCATATGTACCAATATGTACTGACTTTGAGATATGAAACAGGGGAAATGGAGCACTTCAAAAATTGAATGTTCACATGTGAACACCTTCTCAATTATTCACGACTTCAGCTGTAATCGAATGCGAGCACTTCACTCTTCTAGGCGGAAATCCAAAGAGATTCTCCAAATATCTAAAAGTGTTCAGAGATAAAGTAAAAGCAAATTATAGCCACTACACAATAACCATTACAATTTCTTTAGCTTCTTTATTATCGCCTCTTCAACTCTTCAGCTTCATCGTCGTCACTCTCCAGTCACTGAAAATGAGGGAAACCATTTGCTATGCCATCAACACTCCAACCCTCCGTCTTCAATACCCAAACCACTCAAACTTACCACAAATCTATTGACTTTGATCATCTGACGTGACCGATAGACGTTGCTTTCATCGCGCAGCGACTCAAATTTGGCCGAAAGGCTGCAAAATATGACAGAATTAGTCACGGCAAGCCGAGTTATTTTAACTCACCTCTTCGTGCTCTCGATCTGCGACTCTCCGGCGTCATCCTCAAGCAACTTTACAGTGCTGGGAGTGCGCTGAACACCCTCAAAGTCCCAGTTCTCGAACTTGGATCGCAGCTGTGCCGCCTTGGCTTCCTGGCCATTGCGCTCCGGCGTGAGTTGCTTTGGTGGCCTATGGATAAAGGATAATTTATTAATTCACACATGATAGTTTCGAGGTAAACTAACCTGGAGTCCTGCGACTCTTCTTCCAATTCCATCTGCCGGAAGATGTTGAGCATCTTCGATGCTGTGCAGCGCGCCTCGTCATCCAGTTCCACACGCGGCCACTCGGCGTACTCGGGCTTCTCGGGCGATGGCATGCGCACGACGCCTTCACGTGGCGGCGTGATGCGGAACTCCCGCCGCTGATGCTCCTTCGGCTGATATGTCTCGAAGAATCGGAAGCGAGAGCCGATTTCAGCCGTCTCCACCTTCACGGAGTCCTGGTGTGAGTCACTGCGCACGTCCGCCGGCGGCGTCACCAGTTGCGACGCAGATCGCTGCACCGGCCGCTGTGGCGGCGGCGGTCCGCCGGTGTCCAGCTCCTGGAAGATGCTACGACTGGCCTTGGCCAATCCGTGCTGCACCAATTCACTTACGTCGTCACCAGAAGGCGCCTGGCGCTGAGCGAACACTTCGCCGCGCTCGAAGCGCTCCCGGATGTTACGTGCCTCCTGACACACGGTCACGTCTTTGGCCTGCGCAGTAGTCGTCGCCTCGCTCTCGGCCACGGCCTGCTGATACATCTCCTTGATGCGCGCCTGCTTGCCCATGAAGAGGCGCGAACGGATGTTCTGGATCTCCTGTTTGCGCTCCTCGCGACGCTCCTCACGCGCCATGTGGCCGTCTTCGAAGCGGCGCCGGATGTCACGCATCTCACGCACACCGAGGCGCTCCGTGAAATTTCCGCCACCACCCTCCTCCTCGCTGGATTCTCCTTCGCCGTCCTCCGAAGCTCTACAAGCGAAAATTGGAATGTTGAAAATGCATTTCAGCTTCTAGTTATCCAATTTTTAAAGCATTTTCTCGCTAGATCTAAAGGTCACTAAAATTTCTCCTAATCATCATACATATCCTTTGAGTGGGCTTTCCTGTTCAAGATGAACATGCACTGACCAAGGCATAATATTGCCTAGAGGTCGAAGTGTCCTAAATAAACAAAATTCCATTGAAAATGAGTTCTCTAGCAATTCATAAAAAGAAGAGGAAAAAAGGAATCTTGATTAAAAATATACACAGTGAAGGCATTTTACGCTACTGAATATTAAAAAGAGTGACTGCGCAAAACCTCTTCTTCGAAGTAAACAAGTATTACTGTGTAGCCTAATTGAAGTGCTGGTTTAGTTAAACGAAGAGAGTTTTCTTATGTGCACTGCACGGGAATTTAGTTCCTAGACTTCTGTGACTCACCCTTTACCCGTCTCCAAGTTCGCAATGCGAGCATTGACGGCGGCTTTGGTGGGTGGCGGCGCATCGGAGCGCTGGGCCTTCTCGGGGCCACCCTTCTCGAACATCTGGTAGCGAGCGCGAAGATTCACGGTCTGCAAGTCCTCAAGGCCGAGGCTGGGCTTGTCGCTCGACCGCACCACGTCCGGCGGCAGCTCAGCCGGCTGATTCTCGCGCACGATCACCTCGAGCTTGCGCGGTTGCGCTGAGAGAGTGAAATTGAGCAGACGTGCAGTGATGAGTGAAATCTCTCACTATCCGAACTCACCATTCTCTGGGGCCTCCTTGACGGGGCGCGGCTCGAAGAGGGCTCGAAAGTGGGGCTTGCAGTAGAGAACTCCTTCGTGGCTCTGGTACGTGTCCATCCGCAGCTGCTTATCGCACTCGGCGCACTTGAAGCAGGCGCGATGCCAGAAGGCGCGCTCCGCCTTAAGGAGCTCCATATGGAACACATCCTTGTCACAGCGCTTGCACTTTTTCGGCTCCTTGCTGGCCATCGCGGGGCCTCACGTTCTTCACCACACGCGCAACTCAACTGCGTGATGGCTGCCGGGCAGAGTGCATCGGCGCACGCGCGGCGGGCTATTTTGGGCTCCGCGTGCGTGACTCACATTCCATTATAAATAGGTCGATCAACCCACGGCATCGCGCTGCAAAGGCATCAGAGGGTGTTGCTGCTCCGAACAGCGCTTCTTGGCGTTTCGTCCGCCTCTGTCGATAACCCGACAAAGTTGCAATCAAATTCATAACTGCCTGGAAAATGTTCGCCTCTAATTTTCACATCACCCCTAACTTTAATTTCAAACACGTGTTAAGTATATACTCGAGTAAACTACAAGCATATCAAATCACAACTTGTCTATAATCATAAGTATAGTGAAAAAACGTAATTTAAAGTGCAGAAAAGGACTACTTCTCAAGAAAGTAAAAGTTTTCTGGTAATGTGACAACGCCATAATACTTGTTCACAAACTCTCATTCTCTTTATTGTCTAATTTTTGCTCCCAACTTGTGAGGATATTCAAACGAGACCGAAGAAGCTTCTGATAGTGGAATGGTGAGATTATTTGAGCCAATTCATAGAAATCAGTGGAAAATGAAGAAAGTATTGAAGTTTTCCAGTGTGGCTCTCTGCTGGAAAACATCTCCCAGAGTCGCGGTGAACACTTTTCACTCACGCTGCAGGACTAACTTTTAAGTGCCGCACACTTTCCAGCGAGGAAAAGGCATGAGCTTTTCCCACCAGAAAGTAAATTATGTCTCCTGGAATTTTGGTCTGCTTCTGGTCGGCAATTAGTGTGTACACAAATACAGCTGAGGAAATGCATGCATGTAAGATTATGTATCACGCCCCACACTCGGAGATTCCAGCTGCCGCCGCACCACGAGTCCAAGGAGCAGAGCCTCTTCTTACAAATATATTTCTCGGGAGGCGCCAGACGGGAGTGTGAGAGAAGTTAAGTTGGGAATTTATGACTCTGTTATGGGGCTGAACATTTGCCAAGTAGGGCGCAAGAAATAGTTTTCTCCGGCGTCAATGTGTAGGCCGCCTGCACAGCAACCATTTCGCAATAATAAATTCAAATAACCAGCCAAAGAGAGATGCTGAGTGTGGACCACTTTCCAAATAAAATATCAATTTCAAGAAATTTCGGTGATACATTTGGAAAGTTTGCTGGAATGTTTTTATGTGCACTTCAGCACACAAATAATCAATTTTGCATACACCACAAACATAACTGATGACGGAGTGAGGTCAGCAAACAGTGGCTTGTTTAATTGCAAACTGGCACATGTATGCTTGTCCACTTTATGTGCTTCTGCAATGTTTAAAATGACTGACAGAGGTCACTAGAAAGAGCATCAGTTTATAACAGTCTGTTATTCGGGAGAAATTCATTAAATTTAAGAATTCATGGAACATCAGTTATATTGGTTTCTTGCCTTACTTCTGAATTTAAATAGAGAATTGAACGCTTTACTAAGTGTTGAGAAAATATTCGAAATTTCTCAGGCTGTGAAAACTTTCAATGCGTTAGTGCACAAGACTTCCGTGCGGTGTTTGCTCCGAAAAACTTTTGGGGAAATTCCCAAAATACCACTCTGAGACTTGCGCGTTCTTCGGAGACACCGTGATTGAATGTAAATTTAATAAATTGTGTACCATTAAAGCGAATAAAATTTGTATCAAATAAAAAGTCAACGAGAGAGCAAAGCATGTTACACACGGAAGTTGTTGTGAAAAATTGCCCGAGGAATATTTAATACAGCATTCACATAACTTCAAAGAGAGTAATGCCAATGGGAAATGACTTCTCAATTTTCACTTATTCATTGCTGATGGCAGACACGCGGAGTGTGATGCAAATTATGCAAATTATCGCGCGTCTTTTATGGCTCAAATTTCAAAAGTGCTCGTTAAATCTCAAAAGTTCCATTATTTAATCAAAAAACTTTGTAATTCGCCTAGCAAGTGCGCTAGCTCACTGTAAGTGGTATAGTTAATTTTCCTCAATTCAATTTTCCCTCTTCGCATTATATTTTGCGCAATATTGCATGTTTTTTCCCTCAAAATCCAGGGAACATTGCATTATGTGCAGGAGTTTTTCTCTGGACGGAGAAAGTTTAGTGCCGTAAAATTAATTCATGAGGTTTAATTTGCAAAAGCCGACTGTAACTTTTAATAAGCTCTAAATAGGTGTTTTTAATTTAAGTAATATGTATTTTCCATTAAAACCACTACAAGCAAAAACAGCGCCAATAGCCTACAGAAAAAATGTGGCGTAATTAACAAATTTAATTTCATTTTACACGCATCTTTTCATAAGTTTTCGCAAAAAAAAATCCATATCGAATGTGGCTTTTTGGGTATGATGCAAAAAAAGCTTAAAATCCAAACACAGGAAAAATAAAATATTAATTTCCAGGCCATAATTGTGCATTTCACTTTCAAAATATACACTTTTCAGTGATTTGTGTTGAGAGATTAAAAAAAAGACCCTATTTAATGCACCCCAACGTGGTCATGCTATTTCCGTGTGTAATCGTATGGGAAATTTGAGATTTAGCCCATAAAAGAGGAATGACACAAATTCGTGATTCGCAATAATAATGCTGTGTGCAGAGAGCGTACAAGTTTACGTATTATGTTATGTATAACATTGTCGTGGTGGAGACAAAATTGCACGAAACCACCGAGACTATCAGTGTATGTAATCTACAATTCGCGTGTCAAAATCAATTCATTTGAGAATTTATGAGGCGATTGCCTTTGGTGTGTGTATATGTCACTCAATCACTGAAAATTGAGTACCTGGCGCCTGCATAGTAAGAGTGTACACACAAGCCCGAATTTTGACTCTGGGGACGCCCTCCCGTCATTCTCCGCACGTTCGAGAATGTAGGCCAAGCGCTGTACATAAGCTCTTGTATCTCGGCTCAGAATTCTACGTGTATCCTGCCACTTTCACATATGATTTCAGTGCCACGAGGGTGGTAATTGAAGATGGAACGGGGCTGGGGCGCGCAGGAGTGATGAAATTTCAAAAGTACATAGAAAGTACCATTTATTCAACAATGGCTGGAGAGAAACCCGAGGCGATGAAAGACTCTCTGGTGGCACAGGCTGTTCCGGTGCTGTTGGCGAAAGGGGATGGTTTTGTGTGACAGGACCGCTGTGCCGCGCATAAACACTCAAGTTTGCTCACACTCTCGCTCGCTGAAGGATCTTCGCTTGTGCAGGTGGGACGTAATCTTAAACGAATCTCTTTGCCGCTGAGCTGACTATCGAATGGCTTCTTCGACTATGGAAATGCTCAAGGTGCCATTCAGGCGACAAACCATTCAGGGTGGCACTGAAAGAAAAACGCTACAATACACACTCTACCGCTACAATTTGACAGAATATATAAAATGGAATAAAATGAAAATGTATGCTGAAGCATTTAAGAGAAAGGTATGGTCGTGTACAGAAATGCTCTTGACAGAATAAGACACGCACGGAGGGCGAAGCGTATGTGTTAAAAGGGCAAATATCGCCGCCCACACGAGCCGAGGAAAAATTTACTCTGCTTAAATGGATACAGAGGCAGGACCCAAATCCCATCGAAATTGCCTTTGATACCACTCTGAATCAAAGGCTTTCCCGTAAATAATTCCTTGGCAAAATGTACTTTTTCCACACTGCTTCATTCTGTTAGAAGCTGAATTATTTCAATTATAAAATAACAACCACGTGGCGCTGCGAATAAAGTTGAACTTTCAAATGTTCTTTTTATCGAATACACTTTCTAGACCTAGAATAACAACAGGAAATGTTCACTCGTGAATGTTTTGCTGAATAAAGTGAACACTGTTTAGATTAATTAAACTAATTAAATGCTGACTTTTTAATGCTGCGCACTTTCAAATAACATGCTGCAAATATGCTCCTTATAATACTAATAATACTATTGAAATGGAGTGTATTGAAAGAGATTCTATGCATTTATGGCTAGTGTCACAGCAAATCTTTATTTCCTCATATTCCACCAAAGAATATGGAAATAGGAGAAGTTCAAAAGCTCACACTGACTAAAGCCCCTTCAGATTCCCACATAATGAGCATTCTGACCACGAAGTGGACATAAATTCCCCCACGAACAGCACCCAATTTGCCCTTTCCGCAATTGCGAGCTCGGGCAGATATTGGCACAAATAAAGTGCACAATCGAAAAATTACCAAAACGGATTAGCAGACCAAAAGCGTCCACACCCACTTCACACAAGAATCCAATTGAAAGTTTGGAGTGCTCTTGTGCACAGCATCCAGAGGAGACTCGGGCCGTAGGATTGCCACTGGAGTGGTTGAATTTGAAGTATGCATGGAGAGTTGGAGCTTCTCCTTCACCTCGGCCGTAGCAAATTTGTTTATTTAATGGTCAGAGTCATCAGCTGGCGTCCTGGGCGCACACCTGATTGAGATTCATCATGGTATTCGACACGGGATGATGCAGAGCCATGCCGAAGTACCAGGACGAAACTCTCATTTCATTCTAGATGAGTCCCTCGTTATTTCAAACGAATGGGTGGTGGGTGCTTATCACGTACCGTCGTAAATTCATCATTAGAAACGTCATTGAGACACATCATAGAGAGTGGAAAATATAGCATACAATGGCACACAAGAGCCCCCACATGGAGGCCTCATAAAATAATGATAAAACACGAAGTGCATCTCCAGTCACGTTTGCGGCCGCCAGTTATTCCAAGTGTTATTTTCGTATGCACAAGAATGTGAAAATTCACCGGCGGAGAGCACCATTAAAATCAATATTTGACACTTTTATGTATCGGAATACCGCGAAATATATGGTGTGGGCCGGAAAAAAAGGCGCAACCATATTGAAATGCACCCCAAACCAACACCCAGTTGTTGTTCTCTCACTCGCCAAAGTCATCGAGAATTTAATGTTTATTTTATTCCCACACCAACTTTCCAAACACTTTATACGATATTCAATTCGATTGAATGGCGGAGAGCTTTTATTTCAATCAAAACCAATTTAATTTTGCACCATAACTTCCACTGTGAGTGAGAGAGCGTTTTCCCACACCATCAGCACAACCCCTTCTCATTTGCACACCAGACTGTTTTGTGTCTTTGACTATAAACAAGCTTATATGTCGGTACAATTTTGTAATCCAGAATTTCCAATTAAAGTTTCCCACAGAAACCATTTCACAAAGTTTCCGAATATGTTGCTGCCACTGCATGGGAATCAGGCAATCCCAAAATGGGAATGGGCTGCACCAAGTCCACTTCAGCGCTAAAATGTCCTCAGCATCGTGCCAAACTTCAATAATGGCACCATACATATCAACCAAATGTCAGACAAAACTTGGTGCTTAAACAAGCATCCGAAGTGACATACCAAACAAATTCCACCTATGCCAACCTTTATGGATAATTCGGTCATCACACAGTACAATTAACAATTTGGCATGCATAATTCCCAGGAAAGGACGAATCAGATTGGATGAAAATTATCATCCAGCTATGAAATCTCAGATATTCGAATTTCCTAGGTATAATAACTATGGAAATCTGTGACATTCCTTTATATAGCATAAGACAAATCAAAACATTTAGAGTGATAAATTTATATCTTTTAAAGCAAAAGTGAGTACTTTAAACGTTAATTTAAAGACACACTTTGCAAGTGAATTCAAGCTGCATTGCAATAATAATTGATTGTTAACAACATGTTTTGTGTTAAGTATCTAATTGCAATTAATTTCAAAACGCTTCAATTGCTTTATTCAAGTGCTATAACATGTGATAAATCTCTCCGAAAAGCCTCACATGCAATGTATAGCGCAAATTTGGGTAAAATTAGTGAGAACATAGTCAAAAATGCGCCTCCTCTGTTTGTGGCATTGTACATCGTTTGGTATGTGTTTATTTAATAAGTGCATGACACTTTTTCACCACAAATTCAATGTGCAGCACACTGAGCACGACAGCAACAGATTAATTCCGAATCAGTGCATATTGTCTCGATGGTATGCCAACGAAAAGGGTTATGCATTGTGCCTGCGGTTTCATCCTCTGCGGTTGCGGACCCTTCCGCCGGCAACTCGCGCTTGGGGTGCACTCAAAATTCAGGAGCACTGCACCCCCATAAATCACGAGGGAGGGAGATTAATTGCGCGATTATCCCGTGATTTTTTCGGTTGAATAATAAGTCGCTCCCGGTGCAGAGCCACAGTTGCACGAGCTGAAGAAACCATCCTCAGAATTTCACTTTACGTCTCACCACGAGCTGTGCAGAATGAATTTATTTCGTTTTAATTAAGTGTTGAGTCTGAAACTGCTGCCATTTCGGGGGGTTAATTTATCACCCGGAAAATTAAATTGTGAGCATACATAAATTACCAGTATTTGTAATTGGGAGTTTCATTCTAATATTCGTGCACAGTTTCCGTCACCCTCATGAGGTCGCATTTGCTGCTGCTTGAGCGTAATCAAAATGCACTTACAAACTCCTGTGTCAATCAAGATCAATTTGAGCACACTTGCTGTATGGCTTTCTTTACTGTGCTCGTGAATGGTGGCAAAAATGCGTGAATATTAGCTCAAGGATAGCACATTTCTTAATTATATACTTGAAATGTTACGCACACGAAACACTTAAAATCAAATCTAGAAAAGTCATCTCTGAATAGACAGTCGACCCAGGACTATACTTTGACGCTTATATGGTACTTTAATGTGATTATACCATCAAGTCGGCTTGAGGGGCTTGAATGGTAGCGAAGGGATTTCTCTGGATTTATTCATGCACTGACAGGTGACATTATTTCGAGATGTGCATTAGATACATGGTGTACTCTGGCAAAGGGCGATTTGTGGTGCTTGCATATTCATGGAGGAGCGCCTGATGCTCAACCGAGCACCACTCATCGTTCATGTCAACATGTTTATCACTTGCCAATTTTAATGAGTTATTATATTGATGAATTTGCCCGCATTTGATAGCATTATAGTTGCGCTGCAACAGATCTGTCAATGCTTTGCCACGACGTTGACAAATTACAATAGCAAATGCCGATTTGTCGCTCCATGGGAGATTTTGGTGTTGATTTAATTAACCGACACTCTTCCACTTCATCAGTGGGACCTTACCATCTTGTGTCACAGTCAATTAAAAAGTAATCCATCATTCACAAGAAGGTACTTCAATGCACATACTCGCTTCTCAACCGCTTTCGCCCACAAAACTTTTTACCTGAGCTTCTGCTGCTTCCATCGCTGGTAGTTGAACAGAATCACTGTGAGAATCTATTATAGTAATCCCCTCAGGTGTCACAATGAATTTCCCATGAAAGGAGTAAAGTGGGTGACCAAGAATGGGGACGCCCGAGCGTCCCCTTTGCATTATCCTCCCTGTCACATGCAGACATCGATTCCAGATCCCTTTGTGAGTGGGTGTCGATTTCACTCTGACGGGATTGACGGGTGGCATTGGCCCCCATTCCGCAGCTCTCGCAGAGGTCCTCGGTTCGTCGCACGTAATTAAGACTGCTGACGAGGCGCCCTTCCGCCCACTCGGTCTCGGCCGCGCTTCATCTGCATGCCACGCAAACTTCCGCGCCCACAAGTTTCTGACCCGCGACACAGGCCAGAACGGACCCGAAGAGTTCCCAACAAAGTCCTTATTAAGTGCCAGGATCACTTGGCAAGGCAGCTGCGGGCGAGAGCGCCGTGGCGCCTTCGCGACGACGCTTGGCCGCCAAATTGGCCCAAAGTTGCAGTCAGAGACAATGGCCTCGTTAACCCTTCGGCGGTGCTGAAAGTTTTCTGCGGTGCAAAAGCACGCGACGTGCTCGAGAAAGGGGGCAAAAGTTGCCAACAAGAAGCCGTGATTGTACTGAAGTCGCCTAATGATCTCGCCCGGAGGATTGTCTCTCACTTTCCGTCCGTTCCTCATCGTCGTGTGCAACATGAGCTTTTGCCAGCGCTTTTGTCTCGCATGCGAATCAAGTTTCAACTAATTCCGAAGTGCATCGCCCAATGAAATTACGAGATTGTCCTTGCTGACTTGTGTTCAATTAGGGCGGATTGATTGGGGCTGCAGAGGATTGATGTCTGACGGCAGACGGAATTCGCCCACAAAGATGAAAGCGTCAACAATACAAAGCTCATCTCGCAGTGAAAGATGAGAGATCAGTGCCTACTTTGATTACTACGCCTCCCTTTCTGGACACTGCATCTCTCCTGAGGAGACACTCACTCTTCAGATCCAGAGGCAGAGCGAGCTTCCTGACCTACAATCCGCGACAAATTTCGCGCCCTCGTCAGTCCACTGAGTGGCGGGGAGGCGCACGCGCAGCTTGTGCTCCACCTTCGCATCCCCACACGAACTTCCCCTGGCGAGTCCGACGACGTGTCCTTACGTAACTCCTTCCCCTGCGCGGCGCACGCACGGCAGCCACGGACGCTCCGCGAGAACGTTGGGCGCCTCAGACGAGTGTCCGCCGTCCTCACAGTCGCACCTCCAGCGCCAGCGGAAGCCCCGAGCCCGAGCGTCGTGTTCGCCGCGAGTGCAGATCCGAGAGAGTGATTGATAGCCGCGTCCCAGGAAGCCAAGTGCGTGCGGATCCGTGAATCGCGCAGAGACAGACGGTCCTGAGGGCTGCTGAATCGAAAGCCAGTCGGTCGCCTGCCCGGAGTGGCGTGTCAGTGACACCGGCGAGGGCGTAATTGATATCCTCCGGCGGAGCTTTCGGGGAAGTGACACGAGTGTTAATGAAACGTACGATTTGGCCGAACAGAGAGTGAAGTTGGTGCAAATTGTGGGCCACGCTTGGCCAATTATTATGGGAAAGTAGAAGGTGACTGAAGACTTCTCGGCGCCGAGCGTGAAAACAGCCCGAGGCGTCTGGAGTGAGAATCTGCCAAATCCTTGTCTCATCCCTCAAAGACAGATTCCGCGAGATCTTGCAGGCGACCTTGGAAGCTCCCCCCGAATCTGGCCCCTGTTTGGCGGGAGTTTGTTTATTTTCACGCGGAATCCCGGGAATTAACACCGTGTCAAAATCCTGGGGCTCTCCGAGGATCGACACCATTCGCCCCCGCGTCAGGATTCAGTCCAATTAATTCGAGGCGCTTTTATTTCCACCCCACAACAGTCGAATGAGCTCCCATTCATTCGCTCGCTCCCATTTCGCTGCCAAGCATTGACAGAAATTGCTTCGGATTCTCCTTTTGTGAGCCTGAGCTCGTCTTGGCCCGGCCTTCTGTGCTCCGGCGTGGCACGAAAGCAGCGACTTTCAGACTTCATTAGCTCAGATGTGGCAAATGTTGCACTCTGAGACCATTCGTCTCCCCGCCGAATAGCCTGCATACAAATTACCTCATCAGATGAGGAATAAACTTGCGAATGCTAATGAATAAGGAAAGTATCTCGCTCGCGTCTTTCAATGTGCGAAAGGAAATCATTCCATGAAAACTTTCTCACAACAAATATTCCAAAATAAATGTGGTTTCCTAGAAGTTCATTTCACGGCGATTTTCAGAATTTGTTGAATTCGATATTTCCGGGAATCTGAGAAGATGAATCAGCAGATTTCGGGACTCCTTTTCGCCATTGGGCTGAAGATAAAATGCATTTCGTGGAAACAAACAGAGAAATAAATTAGAAGAGGCGAGGCCGATTCTGCTGACCCATTTTTCACCCCCGAAGCATTCGATTCTTGAGTCGCTGCAGAGGAAATCACGGAAGAATTTATGCGCTCGATTAGGAATCAATTAAAGTCCGATGATTCCGATTCGGGTCCGTTCGATCCTCGGCTCTTGAATGTTCTTTTGCCCGCCAACACAGAGTCAAACAGAGGGAAAAGTGAGCTTGACGAGAAAGCAAATTTGCCATTTTCCCTCAACGCTTGGCAAACTGCAGTGTTTGAGCGAGAATCTGGCGCCCTTTTCATCGCAGACTCGTTTCCTCTCGTGCTCGCGCTTTTTGCATCTCACACGTGAGGCTGGGCCGCGGGGGAATTCTTGCGTTTGTCGCAGAAACTCCACCTTGGAAATTCCGAGTGCAAACATTGCCGTTTTCCTCCCTCTCCGCCCGAATTCCTTTGATGTTCAGCATCAGCTCAGCATCCGCAGGCGACCTCTACCTCGCCGGATTCCTCGGATTCCGGCCAACGGCTCATGCGATGGGCTTCGGCACCTCGGGCTGAAATGATTCGCGCATCGACTCATTATCGCTCGCGGCATTGACGCGAATTGGCGTGTGTTTTCAGGATCAGCCGAAGAAGAGGAATCATCATCAGCACAATGACTCACCTTCTGTTCCGCCGCGGCCGAATCATCACAATCATCCTGTTCTTCTGCCATGGTGAGTCTGGCCACTGAGTTTTCAGGATAGCTGCGGAGATCCTTCGGAAACTCTGTCGCATTCGCAGAAAATGTAAATAGATTTTCGCGATGAGATTGGAAAATAAATTGGAGTGAATACGGAATCGATTCGCTGCGCGCCTGCCGAGCAGTTTAACCAGTTTGCAGGATCTCTCAGCAAATCGCTTCCCTATAAATTCCTCGATTCGGTGGGGATTTTCAAATTCAGAAATTATTCGCGCGGAAGGTCGATTTATTCGTAATTTTATCAAAACTTCACACTTCGGGCTCTCGAAGGAGGAAACACCGATAAATCTGCGTGGGAAACTTTGAGTAGTTCGCCTTTATCGAGGAAAACACTAACAATTCATTAATTTCCATTGATGTGACGACGGATTAATTGAGTGTCTCTCAACGATCCCAACACCGAATCTCATTAGGGAAGCGTTCTTCCGCTGAGTGAGTCATTCAAGGGAGAAATTCCTACAGCTTCGGCTTAAATATCGGGAAACTCAATTTGCACTTTTTCCACTAACTAACTGCACAAATAATTTGGCTCGCCCGAGTTTAGATGCTCTTCAGAAGACAATTTGCTCGGAACGTGTGTTCCTGTTGCGGAAGAGATTCTCTTCCGCACACGAAATCTTTTCTTGGGCGAATCCTTCGCTGAACTTCGATACTCAAAAGTTTCTCTCTGATTCCGTGGTGAGAAGGACCTTTGAATTGAAGTGTTTGGCGCACCTCGTATGTCATGCCTGAGGAGGATTTCGACGGAGAACGATGTTGTGGGCGGAAGAAACAGGGAAGTGCATGTCAAAGGCGTTTCCTCACGCTCCTAATTGGAGCCATTTAACCCGGAACTCTCGCCCGAATGCCGTTGTTGTTCCTGCTCCTGCGATGCGTCCTCTGAACGTGTTTGTTGTCTCTGCTTTCACCGAACTCTTGTTTTGCCAGAGAAAGAAGCTCGCAAACTGGGATGCTGCCGATGTGGAGCACCGAATTGGCTTGTGGACACCATTGTCCCTGTCCACAGCATTCAGCATTCCGGCTGCAGAACGGGAAATGGACGGAGTCTTTTGTGGTCTCTTCTGCGAAGAACAATGAGCTCTCGAAGTGAGAGAGTCGTTGGCTGCAGAAGCTTCATTGTGCAGCTTTGCCCACTTTAATTATTCCCCCGACGGACTCTGCATGTTTCCACGTAATCGATCCTCCCTCATTTCCCGCCGAAATCCACTCCGCTCACTTGCCTTCACGGCCCGAGGAACATAATTAATCCGGTGTTGGCCAAGATGAAATCCCTGGTGAAATGTATCGTCGAGTGAAATTCGACGCCAAACAATGGCAAGAATAGGCCTTCATCGTCGATAAATTCTGTCAATATTTGAGGAGCTTCCAGACGATGATGAGCAGTGTCACTGAGCCTCTCTCGAGTACATTCTTCAGCCACGGTAATTCGCCTTCATGCGCGCCTCCTTGGGAAATTCCAGTGGCGCAGCAGATTGTTGGTTCAGGTTGTGGAATACCGCCTCTAAATCCGAACTCACGACGCCACTGAACTGCTGAACTGTGTGATATGAAAGCGAACGCGGTAGTAAAATATCTCCTTTGTGGATTTTTGGGTCTTAACTGGCAATCAAGAGAGATTTACGCCTAGCCCAATAATTCCTTCTTTCTGGCACCGAGAAACAGACCGGAAGGCTTCCCACTATTCCGAGAATGCAGCAAGAATTTCCGCTCTACACATCTGATAATTTGCAAGACTCTCTCCGATGATTCATTGGCTTCACGCCACAATTCCCGGAAATTCAAGAGTGGTGAGGAAATTAAGTGCTGCCTCTGCTTTCGGGCGGGAATTTGCGAATCCTCTTCTCTCCGCCTGTGGCCAAAGTCGGGCAGGTGGACTTCCAGTCGACGAGAGCAGATGGAATTCTGCTTGTGGTGACCAGTGCGCGGTGAGCAGGAATCGACGCGAGGAAATCCATAAAAAAACATGTTTGAGTGATCTCCGTTTCTCAATCCCAGCTCGGCTGCACGCTCCATCTGTCGACCTGGAGAGCGAGTGGGTGGCACGGAATTCCATAAAGTATGTCAGGAGCAGACGTGAACAATATGAATTCATTTCAATGGAGTGCGAACTCTTAAGAAGAGGCGAATCTCTTCTTGGCGAGATAAAACTCCGGCACCGCGGCAGTTTTTCTCGGGCGGGAAATGAAAAATGGAAACGGGGACGCGCCATAAATCATAAATGAAGGAGATAAATTATTGCATCGACGCGCAGCGGCGAGAGAATCCCGCACCGGAAGTCCTCGGAATTAAAAGGTGCCGTCGAGGAGGTGTACAATTAAAAAGACATTATCCGTGAGCGAGCAGTGCGGAATGCACTATCTGATCCTGGCGGCTGCAAAGCGGGCGATCCGAAGGCTGTGGACGTGACCCGGGAAATCTGCTCATCTCTGGCCTGCGACTGCGGGACTCCGCAGCCGTTCATCTTGCGATTATGGGCCTCGGGTTCGTGATGGGACGCCGAGATACGTGGCATCAAAGGAGAGACTTTCAACTAATTAAATTACGTCGCAGTTCGTTTCGAAGGGGAGAAGATCGGGCGGCGGAGCGCCGAAGGGGCGCTCGAAGACGGGCACGGCGGGATGTCAGTTACCTGGCACGTCCGGGTCAGTCATAAAGCGCCTTTACGGCCTTTCGATACAGATTTCACATGGAAGCGCCTCCAATTTGTTCAACTCACCCGAATTTATATCGGCTGCGTGACCCGAATGGCAGGCGCTTGATTTGGCGGGCAGCGGCGGCAGGAAAGACGCCCGACGAGTCGTGGTGGCGAAGGAGTCAGAAATTAAATGGCAATTAGATTATTTTCTCATCAAATTCCTCAACTTTTGTGCCGATTCAATTTTCTCAAATCGCCACTCATTGTGGCCCAATTGGAGGCGCCGAGGAAGCGAATTCCGGGGGCTTCGCGACTCCCCAGCGGATAATTTATGCATGAGTTTGCGGGAAATCATTTCATGACAGATGCCTGAGTGCCTCCGTCTTCGATTGGGGAGCTGCGGGCCGTGGGCGAGAGCCCAATCAGCGCTTCGCGGGGGATTTCGGGGCTGGCGGGGATTTTATGGATGGCTGCGGCAGTAAAAAATTATCAACTCGTGTGGCGTCCGTGAAATTATCTGAGGTCATAAAAAGTGGCTGACGGATCTTGTGGAGTGGGAGTTGGGGGTGGGGAGGGAGGACAAAGGATGGCGAGGAGGTGACTGAATTGCCTGGGCGTTGGATGCACAGATTCGCGCAATTAATTCCAGGGGCGCTGAAAAGAAACGATGAATTGGAGAATCTTCCACTCGATTTTGTGCACTTTGCAAATTGAAAGAGTCTCTGTGGGACCTTTTGAGCTGCCACGTCAAAGGCTTGAGCTTCCTTGTGGACAAATTGCTGGGGTTTTATATCTAAATCATCAGTGCTTCCAGTCTTGTGCACGTGATGCATTCCCAGTGTGTCTCCTTGATCCGATTAGGTGCAGTGCTGGGGAGCTCGGCTCCTGCTTCGAGTGTTCTCTTCGACATCGCGTGCGCGCTTGTCTGCTCGGCAGCGGTGAGTGTCATGAAGTGGAACGATCCTGACATGAATGCCCTGTGGCTTGAGCGCCAGCTGCGGATCCGCGATGCATTTCGCCAGCATGGCGTGTCTGATTGGTGGCTTTGGAGGGCCGCGAGCTTGATGCCTCCGCGATGCCATTGCAGATCGGCCGTCTCCTCCCGGAAGCGCGCGCGACAGCCGCCGAGACGTCGATGGAGTCGACGTGCGACATCATTAATTACGGTGGCTGATGACTCAAGTGGCGGTTTGCGGGCAGAGCCAAGTGCTCCGCGGGAGCCGTTCAGCGGCGGACGCAGTGACAAATGGTTGGCGGAAGCCAAGGAGGAAGCGGCGGTGTCTGTGGCGTGCAGTCTGTCGGGAGTTGGCCAGGCGCGAGTGATCCATGGCTGGCCCTAAATTGCGGTGTTTCCGTGGAATCTTGAGTGACTGAGGAGCGGTAAACAAAGCATTTCTCATCGTTAGCGCGATACTTCTTCCCGCTGAGAATGATTTATACAATATTTTTGTAATCTCTTGAACAAACGCCTGACTCGACTGATTCTCCCGCAAGTTCCTGTGGGGATTCTTCTGGGGATTGCGAAGGGCTGCATTCTGTCAGATGTTTACAGCGAAATTGGAAAAGTTTCCAAAGAGGATTTGGCCATTTTTTCGGCTTAGTCATTACCTCGTTTATATACGGGATGGGGGCTTTCATTACCCGAATCATTAAGCTTCAGTAATGAGGCGAATCTCATTGTCGGGCACCACTAAGCAATTCGGATGGTGTGCCGTGGAGGGCGAAATGTATAAAATCCTAATTGTGTTTTATCTGTGCACCGCAGAAATCGCCTCTTACGACGAGCGGTTGCGACAAAAGGATTCCATTAATTTTGAATGGTATTGCGGGACAGTAAAAAGGTGGAACGGATGAAAAAAGCACAGCCATACTGTGGATGCCACATAAAAATCTCCACGAATTTGCGATGCCACTTTTCTCCCCCGAGACACCCCAAGGCCGGATTTCGGTGGGGAAAGATTCACCTTTTTGGATTAAACGAGGGGACGACGACAAAAGTCATTGGATCAGAAGGCTAATATCGTTGGATGTGTTGTGTTGGGTGAAATTATCAAAATGTGAAAGTCATTGGGAGGAAAAGGTTCCACCACGGCGAAGGAAAAAATCCTTGCCACGCTGAATTGCAACCTTTTCTCCCACCCTTCGGCGGAACTCTAACAAGACTCCGCGCCAGCCTCCAGTACATATTCTCACGCTTCTGGGGACTATCAGGGGAGGAAGTTACTTTGAAAGTTTACCTCTCCGGCCCGGAAATTTGATAAACAAATTTCGATTGTTGAGCCAAAGTTATTTGTCACAGAGAATTTTTTTCCCTGACAATTCCACGGCAAAGGGTGTCA